CAACAAACCTATTTTTAGTGGTGGAGCCGCTCTTAGTAGCTGTGTCTGCATGGGACTGATAACCAATCACTATCTTTGGAGGAAGTCCTAACCTTTCCTTGTATACCCTCCTATAAGAAGAAAAAGAAAAGTGGCCATTAATTTTTATTCATGCACACATCAAATTCAGTATTATTACTCTTATATTTGAGTCTACTATGTATCAGGTACTGTGATAATTATTAATAAATCAATAAGCACAGCAGGAACAGTCCCTGGGCATGGTATTTATAGTATTTGATTATTTATAAACAAATAATCACAAATACGCATGATAGAGCTGTAACACATTATAATTAAAATAAAAATAAAATAAATTACATGAACATGTTTTTACATTCTCTGGTCTAAAATGCTAATTGTTACATATAAACCCTAGTAAATACTATATATTACTGCACAATTACACTTACTATACCTACTACATGACTGCACAGACAAAAATTGAAGGCAATTTATGATATCTTCTGGACAATCTAGAACACCCATGATTTCTGCCTTATATACTAACTCTACAACCTACCTTTCAAATAAGATGTGCCACTATTTTAAGAACAAAATGTGTTAAGTGCCAAAGAGGGTTAAGTATTGGGGCTGTGTTACTATATAATAAGGCACTAATCTCATCTGTGAAATTACAGAAATTTCCCCTTTAAAAGTCATGAGGTCAAAAGTATAATGCCAAGAGAATGAAGCATATCTTGAAGGCTGAGGAACAAAAATAAGGCTGTGTGGCTACAACTAAGAGGGTAAGTGAATATGAGAGATAAAGGTGACAAGAAAAATGGATCTTTAAGAAAAAAATATCAAAATTTTAAAAATAAGCACCAAAATTAAATAAAAATAAAGGGACATACATTTTCATGGAGCTAAATACTACAATATGACACTAAGACAGTTTTACTTTATACTGCAACCTCCAGAAGATTTCAATACCTTCCCTTGATGAAGGCATCTAATAACAATTTTATGATAACTAAAATCATAACCATTATCAAGTTTACATTATGACACTATATAGTCCTGTCAATTATGCTAAATAATTAAAAATGCCAGAAAACAAGAGCACTGAGCCACACAACTTGGAGAGGTTAACAACAAAACAAAACAAGGAGAAAAATTCTATCCTTGGAGAAGTCAAATTATAAAGATTTCAAAACTTTGGCACAAATACAAAATTGTCTGAGGAAAAAAATTCACACTTGATTTCTTTTAACTTGTTTCAAAGATATATAAAATTCCCAATTAAGTTTTGATGCTGACAGAAAAATGAGAAATACGATGACAAATCAACAATCATCTCCTTTCTCTTACAGAAACCTACAGAATAAAACCTGGAGCATAATCATACCTTTTAATTCAGAAGGATTCAGAGAATTAATGTTTGAAAAATCACAAAAGGCAAACCAAACATTTTATGACCTATGGCCAATACCTAATTTTAACACAGCTTAAAACCAAATCTTACTAATTTAAAGGTAGTAAAAAGAAAATCCTAGTTAACTGACTGATATTTGAAAGAAAAAAACAAAGACAGGCAATTTTTAGAAAGAATAATATTTACCAAAAAAAGATTAAAGCTTAGACATATAGGTTTTAAATATGGGCAAAACCGTGTCACTTAAATTTCAATAAAAACTCTATCTACAATGTACACACAAGCACAAAATACACATATAATATTCACCAATTCTCACTGCATTATTATGAGGATTATACACTTAGTAGTACAATTTTAAAATAGAAAAACTTATATTCTCATTGATAAATTAATATGCTACATGCCAAAGTAGACAAAAGTGTTCATGAAAACGATACGAGGAAAATAATGATCTACAAATACAAGTATTTCTAAAGCTACAAATAAAACTACCCTGCTTTTGAGTATCTTAATATTTTAAAAGAAATACACAAAGAGCAAAACTTACCCTATATGTGTAACAGCATCTCTGTTTTCACATTCAGTAGTCCATATTGCTATCTTATCACCCTTAGCTCTAACATTAACAACAGCTCCACATACATCATCACTGTAGTCATCAAAAGATTCTCCAATAAGGCACAGCAGCTTAAAAACAAAACCCAATCCCAATTACATCCAAAAGATTAAAAACAGCTTATTCCACTGCAAATGTCTCATTATTTGTATATATTCAAAAGAAATAGGTTTAAATCGAGTTGACTTTTTGAATGTCTACATTATATTTATGTTTTAATGTTTTCATTTGCTCCTTTGTTTCTCTGGTTAATATCAAGAACACTAAAGGCCATTTTAAATTTCTCAGCAGCCCTAGCTGGTTTGGCTCAGTGAATAGTGTGTCAGTCTATGGACGGGAGGGTCCTGGCTTCAGTCAAGGGCACATGCCTGGGTTGTGGACTCGATCCCCAGTAGGGGAGGCAGCTGATCAATGATTCTCTCTCTCATCATTGATGTCTCTCTCTCTTTCTCTCTCTCTCCCTCCCTCTCTCCCTCCCTCCCTCTCTCCCTCCCCATTTCCCATCCTCTCTGAAATCAGTAAAAATGTATTAAAAAAAGTAAAAAAGAAAATTCCTCAGCAAATTGGGCAAATGGTATCAGGACCCCTATGAAAGTTGTTATTTTATTAATATTAACTCACTAAGCTGCTGCTTCTTACTGTTTTTCATGAACACTTTCTAATGTTTAAGTGTACAGTTCAGTGACATTAAGTATATTCACAACATGATACAACCATTACTACCATCTATTTCTAGAACTTTTGTCATCTTGCAAAACTAAAACAACTTTTCAGTGTAGAAATCTAAAATGGTATTTACTGATAATCTCTCCCAAAAGCAAAATTAAGTCTCTTCTTTAAAAAAAAAAACAAATAAAAGAAAAGAAAAAAATCCCTCCCCGGTTTGGCTCAGCGGTCAGAGCGTGGGCACTTGAACTGAAAGGGGGTATGGGGGGACCCCGTACCTCAGTTACAGGCTCCATCCCCATCCTGGCCCAGGTTGGGGAGCATGCAGGAGGCAACCAATGTCTCTTTTACATCAATGTTTCTTTACGTCTCTATCCTTCCCCTCCACTCTCTCTGAAAACCAATGAAAAAAATATCCTTGGTTGAGGATTAACAACAACAAATCAGTCACTCAAATATGTATTAACTAGAGACCCAATGCATGAAATTCATGCTGGGGGGGGGGGGCGGCAGAGAGAGGGAGGTGTGTCCCTCAGCCCAGCCTGCACCCTCTCACAATCCAGGGTCCCTCTCACAATCCAGGACTGCTGGCTCCTAACCACTCACCTGCCTGCCTGCCTGATCGCCCCTAACTGCCTCTGCCTCACCCCTGCAGCCGTGGCTTCGTCCATACAGTCGTTCGGCTGTCCGGTCGAATTAGCATATTACGCTTTTATTATTATAGATTGCTTCACTTAAGTGCTAACTATAAACCAGACAATGTGCCAAGTGCTAGAGATACAAGAGAGACTATGATTTCTTCTCCTAAAAACATGGGGTTTAGAATCTCTCACTACAGAAAATGCCTATTACCTCATATTTCATATATGTGTGTGTGTGTGTGTATGTATATATATGAAGCCAACAGTTACAGGTTATATCACAACAAACAAACTGAATGATGAAACTACCTCTTATTGTTTGCTTCATTGGTCTACAAAGTTTAGTATACAAAACAATACTCTGAGAGGGTTGTAAAGACATTATACAAAATGTGAGGTCCTATCATTTTGAATTTAATGTAAATATCAGAATGAGTTTGTTGAGGAAGGTCACATCAATTGTATCTGATTTGTATGTGGTAGAGGGTTTCACTGTACTAGTATGTAAAATATACAAACTCACATGATAGAACAAAATTAATTGCCGGCTTAGATTTTCTAGAGTGGGCATTTTTTAATTCTCTTTAAGTAACTGATGTAAATTACATTTTTTATTACATATTTTATTGATTTTTACAAAGAGGAAGGGAGAGAGAGAGAGAGAGAGAGAGAGTTAGAAACATCGATGAGAGAGAAACATCGATCAGCTGCCTCCTGCACATCTCCTTCTGGGGATGTGCCAGCAACCCAGGTACATGCCCTTGACCGGAATCGAACCTGGGACCTTTCAGTCCGCAGGCTGCCGCTCTATCCACTGAGACAAACTGGTTTCGGCGTAAATTACATTTAGTATTCCAAACTGTTTTATAATTTTAAAACCTTACTGTCTCTAGCCAGAAGCGATCGAGGTCACTTCGTCTCTGCTGTTTGTTCAATGTAATTAGCCATCGTCCTCCTCGTTTATTTTTCTCATCTTCCCACATAGGTTTAATACCATCCTACAATGTTAGAAGACAACAATATTAGACAATATTGTTACTTTAAGAGATCATTTCTAGAAACAGCAAGCAATATCCTGTCAACATTTCACTTGTTTCCCCATGAATGATGTAGTGGAATAAAAGCAAACAGGACTTAATGCCAGAGGCATGGAATTGCAGAATTAAGAATCTTGACTTAGGGACTTATTAGCTATTAAATCTTGGGTTTTATTTAATTTGGAGGTTCTTAAACATTCTGAGTATTGTACCTTCTCAAAGTTAGATACACTTCTATATCTAGAAGATGTATGCAAAATTTATGCACAGCTTACACAATATCAGATAATTAATGAATGCCCCGTCTCCTACCATCTGACAAAATCCATTTGTAAATATATCAGGACCCAGATACCCCATGTTAAGAACTCCTGACACACAGGGGTTTAAAGTACACCATAGGAAATCTAGTCAATAATGCCATACTACGTAATACTGAATGTAAACTATAATTGAAAAAAGAATTCCTGACAACTCTGGACTTCAATCTATTCAATATATAAAGAGACTGGATTGAATGATCAAAGCTCTCTTCGAAATCAATCACAGTATATGTCCACAAAGTAAGAGTTTCACTTAATTTCAATTATTTATACTAAAACAGGCAAAATATATTTATGCTAAGCTTAGTAAAGCTATTTAATTTTTCTCCAAGCATCAGAGCATTTCCTATTCCTAAGTTTGTGGCAAGATTTTAAGAATACCTGAATGGTCCAGTTTTGTAATATACATACATATGAAATCATCAATGAAGCATCATACCTTAAAGAGTGAGTAGTCACAGCCAGGCATTAAATTACTAGATAACTGGATATGGTTGTACAGACTAGGTAAAAGAAAAGGACAGTTATAAACATAGAATAGTAATGCAGAGCGTAGGTCCTTACATAACATTTAAAAATATTATAAGAATAAAAAGATAAAAGTATGCGTTCATCACTTGTTTTTCTATAAATTCAATTTCTGAAATGGACCAAACAGATATTAATAATGGTCAGTTCAAGAATCAATATATGATGATTTAAGAAAATATCTTTAATTTTATTCTGACAATATATTTTGATGCATACATATGTATATATAGCAAACTGAGAATAGAGGTATGAGGTGCCTTTAAGTAGATGAAAAAATTTGAGGCTAATGAGCAGTTTTAAATATACAAATCAAGAGAAAGCAAGATGAATTTCCTGACCATCAGCATTGTATGACTGAAATAAGCCACCATTATCATTCTTGAAGGTATCCAAGAGTAGAACGGACCAATGGTTCCCAAGCACCACAGACTGTTACTACTTAGTCAGCATAGAATCATTTGAAGAGCTTTAAAACACAAACAAACAAGACACCAGTCCCAGGCCCCTACTCCTTGGGATTTTACTCCCTTAAAGATGGGTGAGAAACCTGAAATCTGTATTTCTAAACTATTCCCCAAGTATCAGTGAAAGAGAATAACATTTGGGGTGACTTAGATGTCCACCAGTCTAAAGGTAGAAGACTAAAGAGCAAACTTGTTATAAAATTGGAAACTAAAAATGTAGAAATCATGATAGACCATGGATAATATAATTGATCCATAATTAGATTTTCTTGTGTATTTTAACCTAGTCTAGAAGTATTTTAAACAGTTTTCAGGAAGTCTGGCATCCTTTGGATCACATTCCACAGGATAACATGCAAACCCAATTTGGGTGAAACAATGTAAGACCAAGCAATAAGGTTTCTTGAGTTGAACCTAATGATCACTCTTCCCGAACTACATTGTCATTGACAGCTTTTACTAGATAACAAAATTAAGTTTACTATAAAATTAGCCACCACCATTTTTATAAAATTAATGGATAATGTGGAAGTGACCTTTTAATGGCACTTAAGGTAGAAAAGGTCTCTTTTCTTCTCGATGGTGCCCTAAGGTCCATAGTAACAAACTTATGAGAATTTGTAATGGAACATTTAAGACAATCCTAACACTACAGACAGATTAGACAAATCCAAAAGGATTCAATGGTTGTTTAACACTAAATTTGCTAGAAAAAAAGACAGAAATTAAGAAGTTATTTAGATACTTATAGAAAGCTGAAGGATTCCTTCATATCTCTAAATTATCGTTTAAAAACCTACTATGCAGCCTTGGCCTGTGTGGCTCGGTTGGTTAGAGCATCATCTCATGAATGGAAAGGTGCCGAGTTCAATTCCCGGTCAGGGAACTTAGCCAGGTTGCAGGTTTGATCCTCAATTGGGGTCAGGTACAGGAGACAACCAATCAATGTTTTTCTTTCCCTCTCTTTCTCCCTCCCATTTACTCTCCCTCACTCCCTCACTCATCAATACAAAGCATACCCTCTGATGAGGGAGTGAGCTTTCTTTTTTTGTTAAGTCTACTATGCAGTGGCATCACTTACACATAACTAAAGTGTGGGGCCACTTTACATGTTCACAGTTATATACTCATAAAAACCAAATAAACTAGATAAATGCAAATCTGATTCAATGGGAAAAATGGTTCAAGACTCTTGCTCCTCTTCCTCCATAGACTGCAGTACTCTTAAATAAATCACAATTAGAGAAGGAAAACACAATGATTTGATGAAGGGCAAAACAGAATAATCTCAGTTAAACTAAAGAGCTAGACATATGAATTGGTGGGGCTTAAATGTAGTTCTATTACTTAAAAAAATGTTTCAATAAAAAGTGAGCAAAGTGGCTAGCTGACAATTCGTAGTTTTCAGTAATTCAAATGCATACTAAATGCCTATGATGGGCAAAGCACTAAAATATACAGAAGAATATTGGTGGCAGGCACATCCCCAGTGGGGGGTGTGCAGGAGGCAGCTGATCAATGTTTCTCTCTCATCGATGTTTCTAACTCTCTATCCCTCTCCCTTCCACTCTGTAAAAAATCAATAAAATATATTTTTTTAAAAAATGTTTTTAACAATTTTTAGTTTTCATATTCTCAAATATTTTCTCCTTATACATTTTTCAAGTATGGCATACTAAATTAACTTAGTTCTTACAGAATCAATATTCCAAACCTTCTTGAAAAAAAGACTTTACAACTTTATACAGTGGAACCTCGCTTCTCGAACTTAATTCATTCCGGAAGGCTGTTCAAAAACCAAATCATTTTTTCCCATTAGAAATAGTGTAAATTGAATTAATCTGTTCCAGACCTTCAAATAATTCCATTTTATCCTTTCTTATATACAGTACATGTATATTTTAGTTTACTCTATAAACACTTTTTTTTAAAGGACATGATATGTAAAATGAAAATTTAACAATTATAAGCAACAACAAAAGAAAAAAAACATAAAAATATTCTGAGATTTTAACAGTGGTAAAATGACTCATATTCACACGTTCTTTCCTTTGTCACCTGAGAGATGCGTGACTGATCATACAGGTATCAGCATAAAAAGGTTGTCAGGTTGAGAAGCAAATTGTTCAAGATGGGAGACATTCTAGAAAGTAGGTTCCACTGTATTTTATTTTGAAGCCATGCACAAGTTTATGACCCCCAATCTTAACTTTTGCTAAATCTAAAACAAAATCTCAAAAAAATGTTCAACTATTTTTGGAGGTGAAGATTATTTGTAAATAATCTTCACAGATACTGTCATTCTTTGACAAATCCTAAATATTTAGCACTTCAGCCTTTGAAATCTCAGAATTCTTTTTATTTATTGACTGACTTTTTGGAGGGGGGAGGGAAATTTGTTGTTCCAATTTTGGGGGGGGGGTCAAGCCTGCAACCCGGGCATATGCCCTTGACTGGAATCGAAGCTGGGGCCCTTTGGTCCATAGGCTGATGCTCTAGCCACTGAGCCAAACCAGCTAGGGCTTGTTCCACTTATTTATGCACTCATTGATTGCTTCTTGTATGTGCCCTGACTGGGAACTGAACTTGGAACCTTGGCGTATGCAGACAATATTCTAACCAACTGAGCTACCCGGACAGGGCCTCAGAATTCTTATAACAAGAAATCCCAGATGTTACACTGAAATAATTTACAGAAATGAAGATCTAATAACAAAGCTCTGGAATACCCAAGTATGGGGCAAATGTATCCAGGCATCCAAGAAAGGGGACAAGTTCCAACAAGTTGTCAAAAGTTCTACGGGTAGTAAAGCAAAGGATCTCTCAAAACAGGAATAAAGAACATGAAAGGCTAAAAGATATCAAGACTAAAGCATTCAAACAGTTGTGAGGAGACAAACAAAAAGGTAGTTGTATAGACAAATATTTACTAACTTTTCACTTTAACCTTCATTTTGTAAATGTGACTTAAAATTACATACTAATACAACAACAAACATCCTAAAATGAATGGGTTACTTACGCCCAAAAGTCTTCAACAGTATCAAATTCAGAGATCAGCCGAAGGTTTGCTTGCCAAGTTTTGCTTTTATCATTTTTAAAAAACCAGAGTGCCCATCTAAAAATAAAAAGCCAATGTCAAAAAATGGCAGTTTTACATCCATGTTCACTGCAGCATTATTCACAATAGCCAAAAGAGGGAAGCATCACAAGTGTCCACAGATATATGAATAAACAAAATGTGGTAAAAGCATACAATGCAATATTAATTGGCCTTAAAAAGAAAAGAAATTCTGACACTTGTTACAACATGGATAAATCATGAGGACATTATGTTAAATGAAATAAGACAAAAAACCACAAATACTATATGATTCCATTTGTATGAGGTACCTAGAGTAGTCAAACCCAGAGACAGAAAGAATGGTGGTTGCCAGGGGCTAAGGAAAGAAAAGGGGGAATTGTTGTTTAACAGGTTAAGTATTAGTTCTGCAAGATAAAAAGAGTTCCTGAGACTAGTTGCACAACAATGAGGATGCACTTAACAGTACATTTAAAAGATGTAAGTTTTATGTTATATGTATTTTATGAAATTATTTTTTTAAATATATTTTATTGATTTTTTACAGAGAGGAAGGGAGAGAGATAGTTAGAAACATCGATGAGAGAGAGACATCGATCAGCTGCCTCCTGCACATCTCCTACTGGGGATGTGCCCGCAACCCAGGTACATGCCCTTGACCGGAATAGAACCTGGGACCTTTCAGTCCGCAGGCCGACGCTCTATTCACTGAGCCAAACCGGTCTCGGCTGAAATTATTAATAAACTAGAGGCCCGAGGGGGTGCACTCGGGGGGATCCCTCAGCCCAGCCTATGCCCTCTTGCAGTCTGGGACCCCTTGGAGGATGTCCACCTGCTGGCTTAGGCCCGCTCCCTGGGGTGATTGGGCCCAAGCTGGCAGTCAGACATGCCTCTGGCAGCCCGGCAGCCCTCGGGGGATGTCCACTTACCAGCAGGGAGCAGATCTAAGCTGCAGTCGGACATCCTTAGTGCTGCTGAGGAGGCGGGAGAGGCTCCCACGACCACCGCTATGCTAGCTGATGCCTGTTTGCAGGCTGGTCACACCCGCTTCAGGGTGGGGGTCCCCGCTGGGGTGCCAGGACAGACTAGGTGAGGGGCTGATGGCTGCTTGCAGGCTGGTCAAGCCCCCTCCCCCTATTGGGGACCCTCACACCATGGAAGTTTGGCCAGCCTGGGTGAGGGGCTGATGGCTGTTTTCAGGCTAGCCACACCCCCTTTAGGGTGTGTGTCCCCACTGGGGTGCCTGTCCAGCCTGGGTGAGGGGCTGAGGGCCGTTTTTGGGCTGG